TTACTAGTTTTTTGTGATGTGTTTGTTTTCGCTTCACAGCCCCACACCAACAAAACAAACTACATTTTATTCTCGTCGTGGCCTTAAATTTTACCTTTTTGAACAATCTTGTTAATAATGTCTATTTATTTATTTAATTATTTATTAAATGTTGACTGGTTTCTAGTTTTTTTAAATTTGGTTTTATAATTTTTGGATATTTCTTGATTTAATAAAAGCAACTACTGTGTTTTTCTTTCTTTACTAAAATCTCGAAATTGTTTGTAGATCTGTACAGTTAAGTGTTTGTTCGAGTTTGGACAAGCCTTGCAAATATTTTTCAAATATGGTTGATTGATTGGTATTCGTTGGTTGATTAGTTGATTGAATGAATGGCTGGTTGATTGATTGGTTGATTGATCTCATAGTATTGTATATATGAAAAAAAATCCGATTAAGCCAACATACGGCTTTACTTGGCCACTGTATTTTACCAGACAAAAGCAATTTCTTTATTTATATTGACAAAAATAATTGTGAAATGAATATATTGACTTATTTAAAGCAGTATATGTAAAGAAAACCGCCATGACACTGTTGTATGAGACCCAGTAAGCCACTGCAGTAAACCAACGTATGATTTCAGCAACCATAATTTCTATGAGCACCAGCAGAATGTAAAATATTCATTGAATATAATGAAAATAGTTGTTCAAATAACAATTTTGATCTATTTAGGCCGTTTAGTTCATGAGCAAACAAATTTTTAACATGATCGAATAGTGTAAAAAAGGTTGACTATAGTTCAATCCTACTAAGCCAACCAAAAGCCACCGGATTTCACAGGACCAAAAGTATAATTTTTATATTCAAATTAACAACAATAATTTAATAATACTTAATTTTATTTAATAAAATCATAATTTTATTTAATAAAATTAAAGAGAATTATTACAATGTTTTAAGCATATTAAGTCAAGTAAATATTTCATATAGCTTGCTCGTTAAAATCCATACAATTTCGTAAGCCAATAATCCAAGCATGTCAATGCTTGGATTATTGATTATTGCTGACTCTTGGATGCTGACTCTTGACTCGAACGATAATAAATCACCCTCCAAATCTCATCCGGAAGTAAGCTTCTTGTTCGACCGTTAAAAGTGAGCGAAGGCCGTTATATTTATTATGTGCATTTCTTCATTAAACTATCTACATGTTCATCGATATATATATATATATATATATATATATATATATATATATATATATATATATATATATAATACAACACTAAAATATATAATACAACACTAAAAAATTCTGAAAAAGAGAACGATCTTGGACTGCTAATCTATTGTTGTGGTTTAGGTAAGTTACCGCTACAATGCTCAGAGACAGCTTATAGTGCACACAAGGTTTTAGGTTGTCTGAGATTTGCTAACAGAATATGAGAGGGGTTAAACTATCCATTAGAAAACGGTATTACTTATATGAAGTTATGGTTGTAAGTTTTTGAATCGATTTTTAAAGAATTTATCGATTTATTGCTAAATAACCATTTTTAGTGGCGGATCTGTTGTGAGCAGTGTTTTTCTTAAAAGCCAGAAAAAACTCAATTTTTAGATAGGGAAACGCCGTTTTCAAGTACAAAATTTACCAAAAAATTGGCGTGTTAAACAAAAAAATAAGTCGTCAGCCTAATTTTGGCCACTCCAGTGAACATTTGGCTAATTTTTTGGCTCCCATCAAATTTTTAAATTTATTAAAATTTTGGTGTCCCTCCTGCAACGTTGTTTGAATCCGCCACTGACCATATTAAAATTTATGAAAAAAATTTATTTGAATTGAAATGAGCCAACAAAGCATTTTGCGCGAAGTTTTCATCAACCTTGAAGCGTTTTTCAAACATTGCAATTATTCTACTACGGTTTTCCAGCCATATGGTAAGACACCATATATATTGATTAAACACATTAAAAATAACATTTAACCTTGCCATCTTGAACAAAATTTTAGCGATGATTTGTCGATCTATGATTCAAATCGTGTTTTTGTCTTTTTTAAAATGGTATCCAAGTAGTGAATCTACTTTACAAAAAATTAAGCATATTAAATTGAAATAAATTGTTACTCACCTGAGTTATTTAACGCAAATGATATTAATAAAATATAAATTAAAAAGTCTTCTTCCGACAAAATGAATTCCTTAGTTAGGTGAATAAATTTTTACCGATGATGCATGTCGTTAAGTTAGTTGAGATTGACACAGCAGCAAAATCCGCAAAAAATACAAAGTTTTGGTTTTTGCATGATTTATTCCAATCATCTTGTTGATAGATATGTGTTATATTATAAATTCAACAGTCTATTGAGTAGCCTGTATGTACTGTACATCAGTGACGGATCTAGACAACTTTGGAGGAAGGCCAAAAATTTGAGAATGTTTAAATTTTTACGGGGGAGGCCAAAACTTTAACGGGGGAGGAGAGGGCAAAGACTTGTGGTAGTGTGGCTGACGACTTTTTTTGCTTATCACGTTCAATTTTTGGTCAATTTTACACGTAAAACGGTGTTTTTTCTAAGTGCTGTACCTATATATAATATAACATATACACATGTATATAATATATTTCGTATCGTTCCTACCCTCATCTTTATCATTACCGTTTGCCGATATCTTTATGAGGATAGCAATAAAAACGGTTGGAAGCAACAAGTGTATTGATGATAACGTACACAAAACATCCCCTCATTATAAAATAAATTCATGCTCACTTAGTCGCTTCCTATACTTAATTCATTCATTCATTCATTCATTCATTCATTCATTCATTCATTCATTCATTCATCCATTCATCCATCCATCCATCCATTCATTCATTCATTCATTCATACTTTCATTATTCATTCATTCATTCTTTTTTGTTCGTTCGAGCATTGATTTTCGTGAATTTATTTGTTACATTCATTTACCTGGTGATATGGAAATTTATTCAAATCCATTCAAATTCACTTTTTACTACATAGTTTACATAAATTAAAAAAACCATATAGTAGGAATTTTTAGTTGAATTTATTTACCATCACCAGTTAGGTTACTAAATCTAAAAAAAAAATAAAACATTGTGATTGAACATGTAAATATTTCGCTGAACATGAGAAATATTCAATTGCACTTCATTGCATTTTTATTTTATCGTAATGCGTCACATTACATTGTCGTACCAAGTACTACTCAGTATTACGGTGAATGCTTTGGATTGGGTAGGATAGAAATTCGACTGAGGTGTTCAATCGAAATTTAGTTACAAATTTAGTTACATTTACCTCAATCCTCACCACATTTTCCATCACAAAGAAGGTTTCTACACGATATTATCAGTATTATATAAATCTGTAAAATATTATTATACAATTGTATTACAAATATATCGTAATTCAAAATATACAGCAAGTTACAAGCTAACTAACAAAGCGCACACAAAATAACTCTCTAATTTAAAAATGTATTAGTTAAGCGTTTCATTTACATACTTACCTTTACCTCCTAGTGATTGGCCTATGCTCGCTGAAACTTTGTCCTCATTAGTTTTAATTGATCCTAATTCACGTTCTTTAATTTGAAATTGGCGCCATATTTCACGTGATTTTCTGTTGCTGCAATTGCAACATGATTCTATCTAAAGCCATCACTCGCACTTTTACAACGTCTTTACAAACATTCGATCGTCATCATCATCATTGTCTTCATCACCAGCATTATCATCATCATCGTCATTGCTATGTATTTGTGATGATGTTGCTGCTGCTGATGATTATGATGATGATGATGAGGATTGGCTGTTTAATTAAAATGAGAGATTCATCATAATTTTACTCAGCATCATCGTCCTCAAACCAAACCAAATCAAATTGATTACAGTCATCATTATCGCTCACCGCATGACCACCACCAACACCAGCACAAATATCATCATCAACAACAACGACATCACCATCATCAAAATCATCATAAACATCGACGTCATCATCATCTGCATCGCACCTAAACAAATTGTACATAAGGATAAGCATATGCGTTTGCAAGGTATGTATGAGTGTTGAATACAACATTTGGATATTTACTGATGCAATATTACCATGCAGAGATTTTACATATTATATTATAATTTGTAAGCAAAGTACATGCATTACAATATAAATGCACAATCACATAAGCCCAAAAGTGTTTTTCTATATATATTTACACATACAGACACACGCGTACCCATATATGCATTCAATGTTATAACACGCGCATACACGAACAAATACAATTGCATCCTCGTGCACTCTTCTAGGTTGTTGTGCACGACAGAAGTACAACAGACCAAAATTCTACGCATATTGTCTAAACCAAACATTTTACAGAAATGCTCGTATCATTCATATGCGAGCGGTTAACATACATTTGTAATATATAAATAAGTGTTTCAAATAAATTTATATGCACATGTGTGTGTATATGTATGTATGTGTGTATGTGTGTGTATGTATGTATGTATGTATGTTTGTGTGAGTGTGCTTGCGTGTATGTAAATTAACATATGTATATAACAAAAAGTGAATAAAAATGTATTGAACTTATTTGGAACCGGCTCCAAATCAACATAATATAAAATGTATAAAAAACTTTCAGCTTCGTGCGCAGTTCCAGGCTGGTTTAAAGTTTAATCAGGCGGAGTAGACTGTGGATACATAGGTGTATTATTTCACTGTTTTTTAATGTCTTTAGTTTGCTCGTTAATGTTTTGAATATAAATAGATTTGCTTCCGAATCGGTGCTGGGTATTAAAACCGACTTATTAAATTAAAATCTTTTTTTATTTATAGTTTTTTGACAATTGCTGTTGCGCGGTTTTCTTTTGAAGTCTTTTTTCGTTTGAATTGATTGAACCGAAGTTTTATTTGAAATAAGGATAAATAAATAATTTTTTTTCAGAGGTGCACGTTTTAAGAGTTTTCTTGAAGCAAATTTCGAATGAATGATTCGGTCTTAACGGGCAGGATTGGGGCTGACATGAGTGACACGAGGAATGATGGCGGCAGTGACGATGATCACTACGACTTCCATGAGTACGATGGAAAGTTTTCTGCTATCCTGCAAGAAACAGGAAAGTGGATTGAGGTTCGTTTGTTCGTTCGTTCGTCTGCTCGTTTGTATCTTGCTTTTTAATTTTTTTATGGTTATTATTATTTACCCTATCTTTGATTCGCTTTTTTTGTTCATTATTAATTCGTTAATTAATTGTTCGTGTGGTTATCACCTTTTCCTGTGTATTTGTGGCTGGTAGTCTCCTTTCTTCGTTTGTTCATTTCATTTTTTAATTTAAATTAAAACTAAAGTCAAAGTGATTGCTAGTTTTGATTATTTTCGTTTATTGGTAATTTAATTTAGATTTTAGTTAATTAAGTTAAGTTATAATATAATGTTATGTTAACTTAATTTAATAACTTAACTTAATGTCAACTTAATTATAATATTATAACTGTTATATCAGTAAGTTACCAGAGAATGGATTCAAAATAAATTGATAGTTGGTGTCTGTGTCTGGCCATTCATCTGGTTGCTTATTTTGTTTGGTTCTTGTTAGTTAGTTGGTTTTGGTTAGCTATTGGTTTTATTTATTTATTATTATTGATTATTTTCCTTTGTTGTTTGTTCTGGTTGCCGGACCGGTTGGTTAGTTTAAAATTTATTTATATTTTGGCTATAATAATCAATAATGTATGTTTAAACTATAATAGTCATAGTGACATAATGTAACTAGTGTATTATTATAATATTAAATTAAATTAATATGGGCATGTTGCTTTAATTTAAAATTAACATTAACTTGAGTTTCTTTCTATTTTTTGCCAATCAACTTTAAACTTTAAAGTTGATTCATTTAAATTTTTAAGTTTAAAGAAATGTCACTATTAGTGAATACCGGTGATTCACTAATTACTTGCGATGCAATGTGTACCTCCAATTTTCAATTGTATTTTTTTAACTTATTTTTAGTTATACTTATTTAGTTTTTAAGTAAAAAAACTTGTTCAAACATGTTAACATTTTATTTGTCAAATGAATATTTTTAAATTTATTTGTAAATCAATCCAAGACCTTTTTTATATTAGGTTTGCATTACAATTTTCAATTCATTTTGTCATTTGTTACACTCCTGAACACATGCTTGCTTGCACTGCACACACTTAAACAGATGATCACTAAGGAGAAGTTGAGATATCCGCTTGATTTTCTGAAATCCTTGCAAGATGGAGTCATCCTATGCAAGTAATTATTATTTTTATTATTATCAGTGGTAGTAATAATAGTAGTTGTAGTAGTAAGTAGTGGTGGGGATAGCGTTATTAGTACTATTATTAATTAACTTGTACTTGATGTACATGGATCATAACATTTAATTTGTGAATTGAAGAATCATAACATTTAATTTGTGAAGTGAATTAATAAATTGAATTCATGGTGAACCTGATTCTCTTCATGATCATATTTGTAAGGATTTTACTGTTCTCCACTGAAGTGTCGTGCATTTGAATAATAAGTAAAATGGGGGGAACATTGTTGAAACATTTTCCATCTCAATCTTTTTCATCTGGTGTCATATTTGATTCAAAATGATGGTTCTATTAACCTCAATTAAACATTGAATTTGTTGTTAGCTATTGCACCAAATATCTCTACAAAACTGTGATGATTTTGAGATGGTTTTTAATGTTAGGAATTGCATGCAGGAAGTCAGGTATGTCGTGCATCTTATTTAAAATTTTCTAATCTGGTGGATGTACAAAAGTTGAAAAAGTTTCGTGCATCTGCAATGTTTACTCCTTAGAAAAGATTGTGCATTACAGTGTAGACATTATATTGAATAGATGTTAAAATTGAAAGCATTGAACATCCATGTTTACTCAGTGGGATGTAGCAAAAAGTTTCAAATGTTTGTCATGGGTTTAGTTTATTGTAACAGACTGACAGACATTGGTCTGTGTGATCTCACCTACCATGTGTACACAAAGTATGGGTATTTGTATTCTACCCATAGACAACATAACATATATGCAAATGATTTGGTATATATATCTTGCAACATATATTTTAAGGATAGAATATGCAAATGATGGGTGATAATTAAAATATATATGTCTATAATATAAAATTTACTTTTGAAATATTGAAAAGCTCAACTCTAAGCTTTCGAAAGTTAAAAATTTGGTAGATTAGATCAAATATGGCATCAGTTATGGTCTCCTTCCAACCATATATAGCTGGAAAAAGACCATACGTACGTACCATCCCATATATACGTATGTATGCAAATGATGATAATTTGATCAAGAGGTGGAATCGTTATTTTGCTGTTACATGACACCATTTCATGATATTTTTTCATTTTTTTCATATATGTTTCTGCTATTTAAAGAATGAGATTAATATAACATTGTGATGAATATGGTATAAAAATTAAATTGCAAGTAGACAGACATTAACTCTCATTCCCATTTTTGTTTGGTTCAGTAAATTTTCTCCAACTAATTGAAGCTCATTGAACAATGTTCCTCATCATCTCAGGTTATTGAACAGCTTGAAAAGAGGCTGCATCAAGAAGATCAACATGATGCAGACACCTGTTGCCTACCTGGTCAGATTTGTTTGTTTCTGTCTTTCCATGTTGTTCGTTCGTTGTTGCAGTAGTTCTGCTTTTGTTTTGTGGTGGGGCTATTGTTAGTGTTTCATGTTTAGTACTTGCATACTCTGATTTATATGTAAACCGCTATTGCCCAGTTTAGTTTAGTTCTATTTTTGTTAATGATTTTTAAATGTTTGTATGGTTTTTTGAAGCATCGAATAAAAAAAAACATACAATCTTTTAAAATCTTTTAATTTAAAAAGGATTTGATTAGGAATGTCTGTGAAAATAAAAATTTATAAAAACAAAATTTTTTATATAAATTTATAATTGGAAACTAATGTTTTTAATTAAACGCAATTATTGAAAAGTATGCTTGATAAGGTGAAATTAATAAAAAGTTCATAAACAAAAAAATATTTTACATTATTTCAGTTTATGTTTGTGTTTATGTATGTGTGTGGGGAATACTTGGTTCATGGGGAATACTTGGTTCATGGGGAATACTTGGTTCACAAGGGAACCAGCGCGATTGATTACTTATAGGTCAGGGGAACATAGATCGATGATAGACTATATATTGGTAAGGGCCAAACATAGGAAGTATGTGAAGAATGTGAAGGCGATACCTGGTATGTTGCAGCATAGTATGGTTGTGATGGATGTGACATCAAAAGAAATGGGGAGGAGGAAGAAGGATAAGTTTGTGGCAAAGAGAAAGACATGGAAGTTGCAGGATGCAGAGGTGAGGAAGGCATTTGAAGTGAAGGTGGCTGAAAATTGGGAGAGTGGTAAGGATGGAAATGTTTGGGAGAGATACAGGAACTGTGTGTTGGCTACGGCAGATAAAGTATGTGGATGGACGAAAGGAAAGTGTAGGCATGGTGAGACGTGGTGGTGGGATGAAGATATAAGAAGGGTTTTGGAAGTCAAGAAGGAGAGGTTTAGGGTATGGAGAAGGGACATGACTGAGGAAGCGGAGTCTGAGTATAGGAAGGCTAAGAAGGTTGCAAAACAGGCAGTGGCAACTGCAATGACGAAAGCATCAGATAGGTTAATGAAGGAAATGGAATTTGATGTGAGTTCGAGGAAAATGTTCAAAGTAGCAAAGCAGTCAATGAGGGATAGGAAAGATGTTATAGGGAATGGATGTGTTTGGGATGGATCTGGCAAGTTGTGCATAGATGAGGAGGAAAAAGCTCATATGGAAAGGTTGATGAATGAAGAGAATGAGTGGGATGGAGATGTGGAATCCGCGGTCACACACGGACCTATAGAGAAGGTGACGATGGAGGAAGTAGAGAAAGCAGTTAGAGAAATGAAACTAGGTAAGGCGACAGGGGTTTCGGAAGTGGCGGCAGAACATATTAAAGCGAGTGGGGTGATAGGAATTGAAGTTATGATGAGAGTTGCTAACAGTATGTTTGATGATGAAGGTATACCTGAGGATTGGCGACACAGTGTGTTGGTGCCGTTGTATAAGGGAAAAGGAGATGTGAGAGATTGTGGGTCATACAGGGGTGTGAAATTACTAGAGCACGGAATGAAGGTAGTGGAGAGGGTGCTTGAGAGGAGGTTGAGAAGTATGGTGACAGTTAATGAAATGCAGTGTGGGTTTATGCCTGGTAGGGGAACGGTGGATGCGTTGTTCATGGTGAGAATGTTGCAGGAGAATTATAGAAAGAAGAAACGAAGATTGTACATGTGTTTTGTGGACCTAGAAAAGGCATTTGATCGAGTACCAAGGAAGGTCATTGAATGGGCGTTGAGGAAGAAAGGAAAGAATGAGAGACTTGTTAAAGCTGTGATGCAGCTGTATGAAGGGGCAAAGACGAAGGTGAGGGTTGGAAGGGGGATTTCGGACGCTTTTAGTGTTAAGGTAGGAGTGCATCAAGGATCAGTGTTATCACCGTTTCTGTTTGCAATTGTGATGGATGTTGTGTGTGGAAACATAATGGAGGGGTTGTTATTTGAGATTTTGTATGCAGATGATTTAGTCTTGATGGCTGATAGCATGGAAGAATTGCAGTTAAAATTTGACAGATGGAAAAGTGTTATTGAAAAGAAAGGGTTAAAAGTTAATATTGGTAAGACGAAGGTAATGGTGAGTGGGGAAGGTGGGGAGCGAGTGATAAGTAAAATAGACCCCTGTGGGGTATGTGATAGGAGAGTGAAGGCTAACTCGGTATTGTGTATAGGATGTCAGAAATGGGTGCATAAGAGATGTAGTGGTGTGAGGGGGGCACTGAAAAAGTTGGAAGGCACGTTCAAATGTAAGAAATGTGTTCATGGTGTGATTAATAGGACGGACGCAAGGACGGGGTTGAGTGGTGGTATTGAAAGAGTGGAAAGCTTTGTTTACTTAGGGGATAAGCTGAATGCGGATGGAGGATGTTTGAGCGCAGTTTCGTGTGAGATGGATGAAATTTAGGGAACTGGGTGGGGTATTGTGTGGAAAGAAATGGTCAGTGAAGATGAAAGGGAGGGTATATAAAGCATGTGTGAGAGCAGCGATGGTATATGGTGGTGAAACTTGGGTGTTGAGGAGAGAGGAGGAAAGTGTACTGCAGAGGGCTGAAAGAGCTATGGTGAGGATGATGTGTGGGGTTAAAGTGAATGATAGGAGGAGTAGTACAGAGCTGATGTCAATGATGGGACTGAATGAGGACATTGTGACATTGATAAGGAGATCGAGATTGCGGTGGTATGGACATGTGTTGAGAAGGGATGAAAGGGTCGGGATTAGGCGAGCGTTGGAGTTCGAGGTTGAAGGAGTGGTAGGAAGGGGTCGTCCGCGATTGGGATGAAGAGAGCAGGTGGAGAAAGACAGGGTGAAAGCGGGGTTGCGTGATACTGAGGCGAGTGACAGATGTAGATGGCGTCGAGGGGTATTTCGGTTTCATCATAGGTAGCCAAACGGCAACCCCGATCTCGGGGAAAATGCCGTCTAAACGTGTGTTGTTGTTGTTGTTTATGTATGTGTGTGTAAATTTGTATGTGCGTGCGTGAGTGTGTGTGCGCGTAAATGTGTGATTTGTGTGTTTGCGTGTGTGTGTGTTTGAATGAATTAGTCAACATATGTAATGTATATGATTATGCAAATAAAAACTTTTCAACAATTGGTTTCACAAATACAACTACTTATTTGTGTATGTGTCTATTACTTATTTCAACAAACAACCGTTTTGTCTGTGTTTGGCGATTTTGAATTTGATAAATGTACATTTTTGTGTAAGCTATATAGTGGAGAAGAGTCTGTGGGGGTATGAATGAAGATGCTAATGTAATGAAGTTATGCCCCAAAGCTTCATGATGGTTTGGTGGTGTGGTTGATGAAGTAATGTATTTTGATTACAATGTGGCTGGTGTGGGATATTAGGTTCTGTAAAGTGTTGGTGTTTGTGTGCTACTTGTCAACATCATTAAATGCTAATTGTGAGCTTGGCACTTTTATGTTGTTGTTGCCACCTGATTACAAATGTTCAATCACCCCCACAACATCACTTGGAGGTCTACTTACTTTTTTTTAGCTGTCATCATCGTCGTCATCATCAGGTACCATTTTCTTCTTTTCTGTCTTCCTACTTAAATCTTGATCATTATTTTCATTCTCTTCATTACAGTTTCATATTTCTTTCACATTTCTTTTGTCTCTACTGTTCTATTATCATTGTAATATCTCTTTATTGAGTAAACTTCTATGTCAGTATAATATTAACATCATTTCTGCAATGCTATTTTTTGTTTACATTTCTTGTCCTACCTGAAATGTTTAATGTCTGCTTGTTTTTCATCATTACCTACTTAGTCACGTGATGATTATTACCCTTCTGCACAGCTTCCAGTTTTATAAACAACATAGCATATATCATCATCATCACTATATACTACTGTAACATATTATCTTCAAAAGATCATCAACTGTTCAATATTGATGATATCAACTTCATCACAAACATTTTTTCTTACCTTCATCATCATCATCAGTGCTGCTATCATCATCGTCATCATAAATTAACGCTACATAAATAAACATCGTTATCGTCATCATCATTTGTAAGTTTGGATTGCATTGCCGGAATGTTTATGCTGTTAAAAAATAATTAAAACTACTGAGCATCATTATCATAACGCAACTATCAATATCATGATATCATCATTACGTCATCCCATTATCATCACAATTTCAAATGTTATCACATTAGGATCGTCATCTTTGAAAACATCATCATCATCGTTTTTCAAACACAGTTGCCAGAGCAACGTCATCATTAATAACATCACAAACAATATCATCATCATCAACAACAACAATATCATCATCGTCATCATCATCATCGTCATCATCTTCACCGTCATCATCACAGGACAACCTGAGTTTGTTTCAGAATGTATGCAGGCAGGAGTTCAACATGCAGGACTGCCAGCTCTTTGACATCAGAGATCTCGATGACCTTGACATTCGAGGAACCATCGAGTGGGTGATGATGATGATGATGATATGGATGGTGAGGGGGATAATGGAGGTGATAATGATGACGGGGATGGTTATAACGGTAGCGATGATGACGATGGAGATGGTACAGCTACTGATGATGATGTTGATGATGGTGATACTTGCGATGAGATGATGGTGATGAGGACTATGATGGTGGAGGTGGTGGAAGTAACTGGTCAAACTCTTTTGACTAAGGTGACTAATTTGCTGGTACCCATGATATGAGATGATGAATAGGTAAGAATGATGACATTCAGGACGTGGCTGATGTTGCTGATGTAGACGATGAAGATTGTGATGATGACAAAGAGACTATATTATATTTGACCAGGAACCAAGAAGAATTTGTAAAAGAAACTGTCAGACGTATTAATAAGGTGATTGTTATTGTTGTTGATGTTGTTGTTGATGTTGTTGTTGTTGTTGTTGTTGTTATGTGGTGGTGTTACTTGAAGTGTTATTACTCTTATGTTTTATTTTTTGTGTGTTTTTACTTTCTTGCATGTTGCCTTGTTGCTGCTGTTATATTTAGTATACTTAATATATTTAGTATATTTAGTTTGACGTCATTTTTGTTCTTGTTGCGTTGCCATTTCAAGTCATTGAAATACGGAATGTTGTATAAACGTTCTTCGTCATTGTATCACCCTAACTTATTATGTTACTACTATGTAATGTTGTTTATTTATACATCATTATCTAAGTTGTTGTTACTCAGCATCTCTGGTGAATGCTCTTTATTTGGTTCTCTACTCTTCTCTGGTTTTCATATTTTCTGCAAACCAGATTATACATGTGGAAGGTGCTGATTGACAATTAATGAGGTGTTAACTACTTGCCCTTAATTTCTTTTTATGAAATGCATCTAACTTGATGTGTTTGTGGCATGTACGGTAAAACTCAGTGGAGAATGCAATGTCATATCTATGTATCACCGTGCTGACACAACCTTCATGTCATTACCACTTTTATCTTTGATTGTACTTTTTGTATATCGAAAATATGTAATGGTAAAATACCATTCACATTCCCATATAATGATGTTCTATCTACCTATGTTTACTGATGCTTTGGTCTTGTTGTTGTGCATTTTGTCATAATTGATTTGCAGTTGTGAATGTGGAAGCGCCCTGACTTACGAAAAACATTTCTCTTTCATTGATTAATTTTCTTTTTTGAAGCGATGAAATAAAATTTTTGAGAACAAGATACTAACTTTTATACTACCAAGTGACTGTAGCCTACGTATGAATCAGTGATATTTAACTTGCAAAATTCATTCTACTTAAACTTTAGTTTTACTTACACAAAAATCATTTTACTCAAGTTTTACTTTTAGTTTTGGAATTCTTTTTACTTATACTTATACTTAATTTTAGAGTAATTCTTTCTACTTATACTTACATTTTACTTTTACTTAATTTTTTAATCATTCATGGTTATAATTCGGTACTTTATTTATTTCCAAAAACACATTAAAAACAAGGACATAAAAATAAAAATCATTAAAAATTCAAGTAAATTGTTCAATTAATGGCATATTTAGTTTTAAATACACTCTTGTGGCTAACATTGTTCCCAATTTGTTCCTTTTTCCAGATGTAAGCATCTGACAAACCGAAAAAATCCTCTCAACGTAAGCTTGTGAAGCAGGTGCAGATAATAAATCTAACGCAACTGGTGCAAGTAAACTATATTCAGTTTCTCGTGATGTCCAAAAATTGAAAATATTGTCGATACTATCAAACTTGATCGATTTAACATATTCCATGTATTGGTTCAACTGTTGCTGAATTGATGTTGATGTTTTAGTAGCCGAAACTTGGTTTTGATTTAAAATCTTTTCTGCTACAAATTTGAAGCGCTTTGCTTGGGGAACGACATTATCTACTTTTGTGTTTGTTGTTTCTGAAACCATTTTCATAACTGCTTCAACACGTTTGTCATGCTCTTTTCCTGACCATTGACTCATATTTGAAAAAAAGGACTTGATGTTGTTTTTCTCATGTTTGGCATTACTAACAGTAACACAAGATTTGCCCTCTATTTGGAATGACATATAGAATTTTTATAATAGGAATGACATGAAAGTTTATTGATTAAACTGTTTATGTTATGTTATATTTTATTTATTTTATTTCACAAAATTTACAACCAAAACTTTTAAATTATACAAATACTACTTACTTTGTTCTTGAGATGCAGGCGTTTTAATTTGTTGCTTTTCTCTGTCAACTGACTCAACAAAATTAGAGACTGGAGCATGTTTTGATTTTAAATGTAACTTCAAATTGCTGGTGTTTTTACCTGCCAACAAAAATCCACATTCTTCACCCTTTTCATCTAATACAACACATTTACTTTTCTTTATCTCTTCATCAAAAACAAAATACTCCCATACTGAACTTTCTTTTTTTCTCCCTGACATCAGTTGAACCAAAGTAGTCATTTTGGCCGAAAATGAACAAATAACGAACAAAAAGCAAAATAGGAGTACTGTAATTCTAGTTGGTTGAGAATAAAGAAATAGAAGACACAAATAAAAAGAAAATGGAACCACGTGCTTTGTGAAAAGTGAACTTCCCCAAAGATCATAATTTGCAAAGATTTAAAAAAATTAATTTTGAGTTCAAAAAAATTTTAAGTATAAGTAAAATATTGGTTTAAAACTCTTTTTACTTTTATTTTTACTTTTACTTACAATAAATTCATTTTACTTAACTTTTACTTTTACTTAACAAATTCTTTCTACTTATAGTTTTACTTACACAAAAATCATTTTACTTTTACTTTACTTTTACTTAAGTTAAATATCACTGGTATGAATGTATCAATTGGTATCATATATAGGGATGTTGGTACTGAATGGCACCAAACAGCTGTGTATTTTAGTTTATAATTTCTTCTTGCAACTGTTGTTGTCCCGGCGTCAGATAAGACTGTTGTGCTCTGCTGTCTGCTCTGTAAGCAAGTCAATGAGTATTTTAAAGACATTTCTTTATAATTTGATATACTGATTTATAAAATTGATCACTGCACATATTTCTTCTTATCTTCACTGCTGCTGAACTTTTTAAAGATTAAATTAGCTTGAAATGAAAATCATCTTCCTTGAATCAGTTTACCCAATATAATTGTTTACTATATAAATTTTAATAGGTGATAACTTTTCTTCCATTAATTATTAATTATTTCACCAACATCCTCTGAGGACTGTTGTGAAATTCATTGAGGAGCATGATTAAACATTGTGGAAATGACTTTTTAAAAACATGATTGATTGATTGATTGATTGATTGATTGATTGATTGATTGATTGATTGATTGATTGATCGATCGATCGATCGATCGATTGATTGATTGATTGATTGATTGATTGATTGATTGATTGATTGATTGAGTGGTTGTTGAAGAGTGAAATTTTAATAAAAATGATATTTTTATTTTCACAGGTGCTGGTTACCATTTATTGGCTATCCAGATGCTCTCCAGATTACCCTCCCCTGAAGCACGACCACACTTTCATCTGCAGCAACCCAGCATCTTCATCACTGATGACTTCAAAGGCGACAGCAACAAGTATTTCGTCCAACCAAGATCAACAACAACTCACACAACACGCCACACAACTACCTGGAAAATATTCTGCGAAGAGCAACAACATTGATGATAAGACTAAATGGCAGAATAATGAAATTGACTGGGAGAAAGTTAATCTGCACATTTTATTAGTTGCCAATTGACTAATGTTTCCTAATACATAATGATGTTTTTGGATGTTTGTAGATGTTCATTCAAACACTGACAGATTTTATGTTGAACTTTTTTGCTGCAGAATTTTTCAGCTTGGAAGACGAAACGCATGTCGCAGTTCTCTTCCTCATCCACACCATCTCCTGTTCCAGCATCTACTAGGTATGCACATCTGCTCTCCTCCTCATCGCCATCATTCATGTTGTTTATTCTAGTACCATCATCAATATCACCATCTTCCCACTTCACAATGTGCTCCAGTACAATTTTAACGTCATCGTCTTCATGGTAGTTTTCAGATATCATAAGAGTACATGCATACTGGTTTATATCCGCGCCACTTTTTCATTGTTATTTCAAAGAATCTGCGCATTACTTTAAATTACGATCTTATCTTTTCATGGGAATGTTTTTACAAACGACAATGCACATTTTACAATAATTATTCTCTGTCAGTTAGTTAATTCACTAATTATTTTATTATCTTAAATCTGAGTTGTGCTAAAGCTCCATCATTTTTCAATATAAAAATCTATGCTAATCCTATGCTAATTTATGTTAATCCTATGCTAATTTATGTTAATCCTGTGCTAATTTATGTTAATCCTATGCTAATTTATGTTAACTCCGGTCCTTTCTAACCTGCCATTATAAAAAAGAATTGGTTTTCAATCCATCATTAATTCTGGCATTTAATGTTGTTAATGGTGCACGTATTCATTCATCTGGCTTGCTATCGATCAGCCACTTCAATTCTTTCCTGGCACCTCTCCACTTCACATTGACGTGCCTGATACAAATTTTATTGCAATGATTATTTTGATGTGTTAGGGATTAATGTTGCTGACTAATGCCTAGTATCTTACAAATAGTAATAATGATAATTAAAATAATAATAATATTATTATTGTTGTTGCTGGTATTGTTGTTATTATTTAACTTTTATTCTTTGCTTGGTTAGTTGTTTTCCTTGAGAGATTTGTTATGTAGGTAGGGCAAACAATGTTGTACTTGTACACAACTTCATGCCAGTTAACAAAGATTAGAAATTTGATAATAATATGAGAGCTTGTGAATAACTAACACATAACAAAACTGCAACGCAACAACAATGCAGTGCTGCTGATGCAGGGGACAGAGGTTTCAATGATTACAATGGGAGGAAGTACCTTGGTGGTAAAGAGGCTATAACTGGACCTCACAATGGAGCTGGGTTACATTTCAATGGTGGTCATCATCACCACCATCCTTCTGAACAACTGCATCACCATCATCAGCATGTTAATAAGCATGCCAATGATGAAGTGTTTGATAAGGTGGCCTCTTTGTTGTTTAATCAATATTATTTTTTGTTGAAAATTCATTCAATTATTTATCTTTCAGTTAATTCAATTTTTAATAACTCGTATTACAGTTGCATTGACAAACAGTTAGTTAACCTGTTGTCTGAGCAGCAGTGCTATGTTACAATTGCCTTACTGGATTTTTGCTGCTTTAATTTGTATTGTGTTGTATGGTATTGTATTATATTGTGCTGTATTGTTTTATAGATTGCGCTCGTTTTTATTAGATTTGTTATACATCATGTGTAATTATACTTAATTTATTCATTATCACATGAACATTTCACTGTACAATAATATATCGTTCTTCTTTGCCTGACATTGTTTGCTTTGTAAAAATTTATTGCAACTTTGATCATCTTTGTTTTATAACTTGCATTATTATGTCATTGTGACAAAATGTCATGCTAGTTTTCTGCTTTCATTACATTCATTGTAAACCTTACGTTACATGTTGCTGTGTAATATTTTATCTTATATTACGTTCGTTATAAGTTCATAACACTTTCTTTATGTTGTTTGATTGAATTACAATTGTTTCATTCATCTTTTTTATTTCATTTAAAATTCACAGGCTCCCACGCTTCCTAAATGGGACACATATCCAGGATTTAAAAATGCAGATGACGACGACACTGATGATGATGAGGAGGAGGAGGATATATTGAAGTTTCACAAAAGACCAGCAACAAACCATCACAAAGGAAAAAAAATGATTGGATCTTTCTCCTCAATGTCATCATCGTCGTCATCGTCATCGTCTTCATCGCCTCTGATCAGAGAGTACAGAAGTGCTGATAATGTAAGTAAGGTCGCTGCAGACAGGACTGGATCTAGCTTTGAGAAACTGCTCATTGATGTGAACAAGTTGTCACACATCAGCTTGTCACAATCTTTGAAAGATCTTGAGAACTTCGATGAAGTTGGTTTTGATGAGGATTATCAAATTGTTCATGATGATGATGGCTGTGATAAGAACAGCGAAGTTGAAACAATTGCTCATGATGAAGATGAGGAAGATAAATATTTCAGCATCCGAAATGTGGATGCTTCTGATGTCGAAATAAATATGTTCAATAAAATTTCATCAACCGATGATGATAACGAGAGTGAGGAGGAGGAGGAGGAAGAAGAAGATGATGATAATAAAGACAACGATAATAATAATGATGATAAAGAAAATGTAATATCAGCACATTCTGACAATAAGAGAAAGCCATTGAACTTTATTGGTGAACTTATTCAGCTGAATGAAGCAACGAAAAAGTTTGATGGTGTTTTTGAGCAGAGGACTGTCACCTCAAATGATGCCGGCCCACGTAAAGTCCTGACCACCAGCAACGTGCACAATATGGCTCATCTCTCAAGAAATAACAACTTCTTGAGCGTGACGACAGAACAACCACTGAATCAGAGATTTGTAGCGACGAAATCGTTACCTTCTCCTTCGTCATCGGTCTCGTCCTCATCCTCACTACCTTCAACTACTTCACTGAGTCTCTTTAATTCTAAAATGTATGATAGATTCTATCACGACATGAATGCAATAATGAATTCGAATGCTGCAAAGACTGACAATTATAATAATAAGAACAATAATAAAGTAAAAAGACTGGATTTGGAGTCAGAGAAAAAAAGGATTGTTGAATGGAATATGAAATGTGATAGACTTCTCCAGGTGACTTTAAATTTTTTTTTTTTAATTTTTATTGTCCTAAATTGGTACTTTAATGAATGATGCCTAGAATTTTTTTTGTTGAGTTTCAATAACATTCATTGCTGTTGATGTTGTTTTTATATATAGATTAGAACTTATATTTATTTTATAGAGTTTAGAAATCTACGTTTTCTTAATGATGACAGGAAAGATTCATGAGAGATCGAGTGATGTTGAAAGAGAAGCTGGAGGAAGACATGAGGAAGGCTGATGAAACCGAGAGGTTGAGGAAGATCAAGGTGAATTTAAATAATTACTGCTTTCCCTGAACAAATCATGTTCGAAATTACTCATCGTTTCTACCATACATAAAATCACCATTTTGGTAATGTGAGACTTTAAGTAATTACGACATTACGACGTATGTTCGATTGTCATCATATATATATATATATATATATATATATATATATATATATATATATATATATATATATATATATATATATGTGTGTGTGTGTGTGTGTGTGTGTGTGTGTGTGTGTGTGTGTGTGTGTATAGGATTAAGACTGTTAGAAAAGAAATGCAATTATTGAGGAAAATCACAGCATGTTTGGCGTTAGTTAACTTCCAATTTAACTTTTCGATTTAAAAATTGAAAAGTTAAATNGGAAGTTAANTAACGCCAAACTCTCTACCTCCTTCTCCGACGACTTCGCCATCACTTACGAAGTTCAGGCGGATCTCAAGACCCATCTGTTTGCAAAAATCATTGAAGAGCGCTGTTGAACATCGCGGAAATGGCGCTTTATAAACTAATTGATTGATTGTGCGTTTTGAACTTCGTAAGTGATGGAGAAGGAGGTAGAGAGTTCCAGAGAAAACGACCAGAGGAGTAGACAATCGGCTTCGGCCCTACAATGAAAAGTTTTGCTTGGCTAATTCTAAATTAAACGAAAGACATATGTAAATGTTTAAAATAAAACGATAAAACTATTTCACCTTCTCTCCGGCACAACGATAAAATTAAGCTGTAATTTTGCACAAGAACATTGGTTTTAATAGCAAAATTACTTCTTAAAATTTATGTGATGGCAAATAAAAAGTTGCCAGCCTTTTATACAAAATTTAAGCCCCCAACAACTAATCTCTCTACGTTACTGAATTGCTGAAACCTGCTTTTTTGCTGAAATAAAAGTTCAAACCATGATTCATCTTATAGAAGAGCTCCGAAGTGGAGGGCAAACAAATGCGAGGATGACAAGAATAATTATTGAGCATAACAAAATTGGCCAATGGATAAAATTAAGTAATCGTGAGAAGCTTCCTATATTTGAGGGGTGAGATCAGTTCACAATCAGAGATGAAAAAAGAAGGACATGTTTAATATTGAATGCGAACAATTTTTTTGTCAATTTTAAATTTTATTATTTATATAATTTTTGAACTGTCATGAAAAATATGGACTTGTATCAAACTATTAACTAAGAGTTTCGACGGTATAAACTTTAAATACACTCACACAAAAAAATCAAATCTATATTTTTGTTTCAATGCTATATTCTTTACATTTTTATTATGTCTGTTTTTCAGGAGGAAGAATTTCTTGAAAATGAAGTGATAGAGGTAAAGAATAAAAAAACGTTAAGCAACTCTGATAATGATTATTGTAGTTTTGGTCAGCTCAGAAATGGGTCAAAAAGCAAGCCCTTGTCTTTCTATTCTTATCAAGTGCTCAGTGATTATGGGTCTGTTTTCTTTTACTGTATTTCAATGAATTTTTAACTATATCGCTATATCAAATATTTTGTATACCATTTTGAATTAATTTTTAAATATGTTTAGGTCTCCTTCGTTGGATCACAACAATTTAAAGAAACAATCCTTCTTTCATGGTCCATCATCACATTCATTGACTCACGATTGGCTCATGAATTCCTGTGTTGAAACTTGCAGACCTGAAGATGGAGCACAAACTGAAGATGACACGAAGAATGCAGGATGTTTGGTTGACGACCAAGTATTGCCTGCACTTTCAACAGGAGATGACAACTTTGATGAGCCAACGTGGATGAAGTATGTGACTGATGAGGTCAACAAGCAATCTATCAACATGCCTCTTACAACAGCCACTCTTGAAATCGTTTCTGACTCTTTGAATGGCTCGAGTGAAAATATTTCGGCAATTCAATCCAATGAAGATTCCATTGAAACTCCTGCTCGTAACATTTCACTTGACCATTTTTCAACGCCACACAGAGCTGCTAATCAGCTAAACTATTTACAAGATATATCAAAAGCTTCATTTTCAACTCCGCCATCAGAAACAAAAACTTCATCTACATCCTACCAAAACTCAACTTTGCTCTCTAAAGACAGCGTGCCTTCTCATCTAACATCTATTTCTGCAAAAACTTTGTCCTCGCCATCACTTCCTGAGCCAAGTGCTCCGTCATCAGCTACCATAATTAGGTCTGGTGTTTCATTATTGCCTTTGAAAGTAAACATATTCTCATCTATATCGTCGCACCCTTCCAATGCCTTGTTGACTCCTAGTTCAGAAAGATGTCTTGAGGTCTGTTATTTGAATCCACCTCCTAAAGTTCTGAAGAAGAAGCTATCGGACTCAGAAGATAACATATCATTTTCATCATCCAGATCGTCTGCTACCTATCGTCAATCATTATCAACTCCTTCAACCATCCCATCATCCACTCCTCAGTATTTGTATTGTGACCACAACATTAGTTCTTCAGTTGATCATTTGTTTGCCTATCACGATGGCATAGCAAGAAAGCAATATTGTGTAGTGGATTCTACGCATCAAACCAATCATGCTAGAATTTGTGAATTGCCTGTCAAAAATCTTTCCGAGGATAAATCAAGTTGTTCGGCTTGTGGCTTCTGTATCGGTGAGAGACTGTTTTTTAAATATTCTGATATAAGTTTACTACTGTTCTTTTTTCTGCTGATATTTTGATGTCATTATTTCTTCTCGTTTGCTATTTCATCAACTAGAATAATTTTTATTGGGTAGCAATTCGGTAGCAAATTGTTATGACTCAAATATTCTGATTGCATTTCAAATAGATGGTTATTTTTGAATTTGTTTGTCCAGTTTTTCCAACTACTAAGTTTTTGATGGATGATATATGCATTAGTTTACAACTGTACTGTTCAAGTGACGTATCTTTATTCATCACTTCAAATTATTAGGCCACTTAATTTAATTTAATTTAATAATTTTTTTAAATAAATAATTTTGTATTTACAGGAAGTGGAAAATCTGTTAAAATGTTTTCCCTGATTGGACATTATCACGTAGAATGCTTCTGCTGTTTTATCTGCAAAGAACCAGTTGATGGCATCAAGCAACAACTCCACATGAACAAATCAATCATTATGTGTGATGAGTGCTATAAGAAAAGCCTTACACACCGAAGAAAAAATTAAATCTCATGTTTTTATAGTGTGCGTTTAATCCTTAATTCATTTAACAACTAAAACTACTTCAGATACTCTGATTGTTCTGGAAGATTTTTGTTTTACTATCAAGTGATCATTTTTTTAAACTTTGCTGATAGATAAGCCATGAATTTGTGATGATAGCAATATCAAGCATAATATAATTTCTAAGGTTTTTATCATGTTTCGCATAACCTCATTTCATCTTGGTGGTTGCCAATTTGTTTTGCACCTTGTAGGGTGCTTGTTATTCAGATAATGAGCGGTAGTTAATGTTCTTTCACAAAAACATCGTTGTGATATTTTTTTTCTGTTTCATTATGGTTGTTAAGTTTGTGATTAATGTAATTAAGCAAACATTTATTGTTGTGATCATCCATGTGAATACAAATTAAGACCATCTTATCTTCGTTTTGTTTGTTTCGTCACACCTCAACGTGAACCTAATTATTTTGACAAAAAGTAAAGTTCGTTTTGGATTTTGTTGAATCTCACCAGTTGGAGTCGACAGAAAGGAATTAATTAATTTCGTGATGTTTTGTAAGGCGAGCGCATAATAGTGACGTAGAAATCATTGGGGCATTCGAAAGAAAGTTTGCGGGTATGTGTTGTGCCCAAAAAATTGTAGGTAAAAAATAGACGTAAGGTGACAGGATGGCCGACTGGTTACCAGTTATGGACGTTTGATTGTCAAAGTCGAATTGCTGAGTGGGCAAAAAACGTAAACCATAGAGCAGCAAAGTTTGTTAGTAAGTGGAGTAGTAATAGTTGGTACCAGTGGTGAATGGCTTACTCATTCTCATCAGCAGTACCTGTCTGGAAATTTATATCCATCTTTTGAGAGGCAATTTCAAAAGCAAGGTTCTTGCAAAGGATATGTCTCTATAGAAATAGTGAATGTTGTCAAACAAATCTAGAGAGACGATCTCGGGCATGTTATTGAAACGTTTACGAAAATGTTACAAAAAACCATTCCTCTGAGTATAGTTGAAAGATTGACACACCTATCAAGCCTGTCGAACGCATCTACTGCGTCACCTACTAATTCAAATGATGAACTGCAATCTAATTCATCTTGTTCAGAATCGACTGATTTGATGAAGTCAAGTGGAAAAAACTTCCAAATGACTGCAGATTTTATATTTTGTCTTATTTTTGTCATATCATCACGAAAGAGCGCTTCGTAAAATTTTTGAAAAATAACGAATAAACCGTAAGCGAAGTGAAAAAAGATTGGTAATATCATTAGTTTATTTGACCAGCGGCGAGAATTTTAGAAAAGACTTGGTTCTGAATGGAATAATGTCAACGTTTGTGGAAAGAGTGTGCAATGACCAAACAAGTACTTGGCAACACTTGATTACACTTACATAATGCAACAATGCAATGATTCACTACCATTGGTTACAAATAAAACAGAGGTCATCGAAAATTCTTCAACTATTTTCAAAAAACAATGTGTTATTTTATTTTGACGATGGTCAAATTGCTCAATCAAATGAAGACATTTTGTCTAAATATTTTGATGTTTTCGAAGCAATGTTCAAGGGGTTTTTCAAGGAAAACATCAAGTGAAATTTTTCTATTTTGAACAACTGCATTTTATGTGAATCAACAGATCTCCTGAAAAAATAATTTAATGTATTTTTGAGTTAGCCCATAAATATTATATGGTAACATTTATTGAACAACACTGTATTGAAAAGTTAAAATCTAATATAAATATTTATTTAGAAAAAATTTTGTCTTTCCATACAATTATACGTTATCATTTCATTATATTGTGCATGTGTGTAAATATATAAACAATATAAGTTTTTCAAAATTTTTGCGTGAGCTTAAAAAGTTGATAAAGTTTTTTGATCTTTTGAAATATTCTATTGCATTATATGAAAAGAGTTTTGCCGCGGAATTACTACCCACTCGAATACTGACTTTCGCACCAAGGAGGATTCCCTTACTAAGAAGAAACGCACAAAATAGAACAGCTCAAAGACGCATTCGCGCAAACCGAAGAAGATTTCACTGAAGACTTTTGCACTCAAGAATTTTTAAATAATGCAAATATTATAAAAAAATTTAGTTTATATAAAACATATACTCTCAAAATATGCTATAAATTGTAAACAAAATAAATCATTTTAATATAATAGTTTTTTTCTGAAAAATGTCTACGATTTGTTTAATTGCTATATTTTTTATTTTAAATAAAGTTCTTAAACAAAAAAACGTAGAATGAAATGAGAGCGGGGAAAGTACTGTGGGTTTGTTATAAGTCGATGTTTAGGAGCGTTTCCAACTGAGTTTTGTACGATGGAAATGAAAAATTATAAATCTCAGTATCAAACTGGGTTCCAAAATATTTTGGGATGCCTGGCTTGGTACTCTTGCGCGGAGGAGCCGAGCTATATGGTGAATTTATTTAAGTTTTTGTGCGTTGATTCAATTTATGCAATTGCTTGTGTGGTTAAGCGTGTGGTTATGATTTTATGTGTGTAAGTGCATATGTGGATACACAGTTTTGTTTTTGTTTTTTTTTGTTTCTATGTATGAAAATATTTAGTTTTTTTTTCTTCTATTTTATTTTTATGTTATTTTGGCGTCATTATTGAATTTTTAACTTGAGCTTTTTAACGTTAGAACATTTCGGTTGAATATGATTGACAGTTTTTTTTAAATGTTTTATTTATTGATAGATACTTGTTGAAGAAGCATAATATGAAATCTAAAAATTTAAAATGCGATTTTATACTAATAATTCTACATCAACTACAAATAGAGTAACAATAAATGGTTAATAAAAGTAATGACATTGAAGCTATACTGCTAACAATAAAATTAATCAGCATGGGAACTATTAAAAAGCTGCTTCGTTCCTAAACTTTTAATCTCTTATTACTTCTAATCTCTTATATAATTCAATATTGAACCATCTAAACAATGTACACTGTAGAATGTACACTTTTTCTGTTATAATTTTTCACTCCTTTTTAAATAGCTGCAGGTTGGCGTACCAAACTCCAAGAGCCACCGAGAAGCCAGGGTGGCGAACGAAAAGGGGCTTCAGTAAATTACCCTAAAAATATTATTTGAAAATTAAATTCGTTATTTCTTAGAAACGAATTGCATGTGTTTTTTTTGTGTACAAAAGTTTTGCTAAATTTAAACCAACTTTTTCCAATCCAATCCAAAAAGCGTCTCCGAGGAAGTGCTTTGTTACCATTTTCCTGATCAATTCGTACTTCATGACTGACCCGCAGAAATAAGCGACGTCCACTTGTTGGATCAGAGTGTTATGTAATGCAAATTTGCTCAAGATGTTTGCCTGAAAATTCAAGATACCCGCTGCCAGATCTTCTTTGGTATAAGAACCTGAGAGTTTTGAACAAATTGCACTTTATAAGTACTACTGATGCTCTGCTACTATTAACTACTATTGCTGTTACAACAGCTACTACTTAGCCACTAGACAAACCTTTTCCTTTTGCATTGGCCGATGTTAGTTTTCCGAGTTCGTACGCGGGGTATTCGTCTGGAAGTAATCCGTACAGGTCTTCCTCCGCGTTGCCATAATTTTTCAAGTCCGACATACAAGTGGTCACTTTTGTTAAGTCACCTCTAGCTGCCATATCCATAAATTTATCAAAGTCCTGAACGTTTTTTTATCAATTGATTGGTGAAAATAATAAGCAATTCATCTTTGAATTAATTTCTAAAAATACTGAAACACATATTTTTATTTATATTATTATATTATTGTTTTATTAATTATATTTTCAAAACCGTTTCGCCGACTAATTCCTCCATAAGACCAAACAAGGTTTTTCCGGCAACTGTGCTAAGATCCACAACTTTGAGCTGGTAATCCTTGTTAACCTGTTCAATGGTAACATAAAATATTTATTTTTTCTAATTAATAATATTTTTATGATAACGTAATAATAATAAAAAAATAATAATATAGCTGACAAGCATGGTTCCCGAAGCAGAACCAAACATGGTAAAAGTTGACGGAGCGATTAATTGGTCCGAAACTGGCTTCATATATTTATCAGCCCATTTTTTCTCATCTGAACAGCTCAGTAGTTCATACAGAGGACTGTCAAATGTTGAATTTGATTGAGAATTTTTTTCGGAAATATTTATTTTTTCCAAATCTTTGTCAGCTCTATCGGCCATATAATCATCGGCCTTGTAATCATCAAATGTGCTGTCTTCGGTGAATGTTTTTAATTTAACCATTGCTTGGGCTAATATACGAAGTCTGTTGGCTGCATTAGAAAAAGCCTCGAAGTCATAATCGTAACAACCGATCTTTAGAAGCGATGCCACTTTCACAAAGTTTTGCACTGCCATCATCTCGCTGTACAATTTTATTCTGTTAATGAAAACATGTTTTAAATTCTATTTAGTGAATGTTAAAAAACTAAAAATAAAGATAAAATATAAGGAAGTGCAAAAATGAGAAGAATTTAAGAACAATCTACTATTTTATTTTGATCTTAGAACAAATATCATTGCATCACTTACTTTACTCCAAAATTTTTCTCCAACTCAGCTTTGAAATGCTGCGTAGTGACACCAGTCATATAACAAGTAAAATCATCGCCATCAGTTCCACATCCGTTTCCTGTTAAGTTCACGTCACAATTTTCTTTCAGGAAATCCGTTATTTGGTTTATGTTAATCATCTTGAAATATTTCAGACGTAGCAGGCCATGGTCTGAAGGCTGTGTGAGAATGATGATGTTGATGATTATGATGATAATCACATAAATGATGATGATGATACCAAAAAAGAATGAATTAATAATAATAACAATAATAATAAGTATTATTATTATTCACCTTAATAATTTTTCCATGTTTATAATCCTTCTTTGATCTATATATGACCTTCGATAACGATCCGCCTAAAAGTTCATATTATGATTTGTATCAATTTTATTCTACTATTTATTAAGTTATTACTCTCATTTATTATTATTTTCCGATATTTTATTTTATTGTCGTCATGTTTATTTTGATATGTTTATTTTATTTATCTACGAATAATATTTTTCTTTCCAAAAACTCACCTGAATCAACCACAAAACCCAATGGGAAGTCCATAAACTCATGTGGCACTTCTAATATGACCTCATCATCATCAGCATAACATAATGAAGTTGATGGTGACGATTCCGCTGCTGATAACGATGTCATCTGTAAATATAAAGAAGTTAGTTTTTAAATCTCGACAAATAACAAATTTTGTAATAATAATAATAATAATAAAATGATAATAATAATAAAATGATAATAACAATAGTAGTAGTAGTAGTGATTTGCATAACGCTAGTAGTCGGCGCGCTGCAGCTACATTTGAGTGCGCTGATGCTAGATCTAATGGCGCTCTGGTTACATTTGATTGCGCTTTTATCTTAATTTTCTTACAAATTTTTATATTTATTGAATTTGGATTGAATGACGGGATATCATCCAAGAAGTTTTTTCATCGCGTGTGTGCATGAGCGTGTGTGTGCGTGATGTTTTTGTACGAAATTTTGTTTTCATTAAAAATATATTTATGAATTAAGATACTAAAGCTTTGGTATTTTTTTCATAATAATTATTTTTATTATTATTGTTGTTATTATTATTGTTAAACTTTTAGTTTAAACAACTTCATTTTTTGTATTAATTTGATCAATTTGCTTTTAACATATATTCATCATTCAGTTGCAATCTTAGTTATTTTCTTCTTAGTCTATATAAGATTCTGTCAAATAAAACTTGAATCTACAAGCAGTCTCACTGTTAAATAATAAGATAACCTCAGCAACCACCATGAAAAAACTTGATTAGCATATTTGTAGTGATTGTTTTTTCATCAAAATTTGAAAACATTGATCGAGTTGTCGCTAAAAAAGCTTCAATAATTTAATTTTCCAACGTAACGCTCTGGCTAAATTTTGACGTTGAGTACCAATAACAAGAAATCAAGAAAAACTAAGTTAAACAAACTTTGGGAGCATTCTCACAAGCTGAAATACTTTTACTAAATGCGATTTGTTTGACAAAACTTTGAAACAAACTATTTACACAAATTTTGTGTTTTTTGTGGACCGTGACATTTTTTAGAAATCTATTATTACGTGAAAAGAGTTCTGCTGCTGATAATAATATTGAAAGTCGACGGTAGATGGAATTAGTTATTTTATTTCTAAGAAGTTACTGAAAGCATTGTCAGAAGATGGGATCAAACACATGGACGTGTTAACAAAAATGTTGACGGGGCGCAAGAATTTTAATCTATTATTACGCTTGTCAATTGAAAAATAAAAAAATATAATTTTCACGAGATGACAAAACGGATTTAATCACATGGAAACAAAAAAAATTATTATCCAAAAAACTCTTCTTTTTGTTACCGTGAAAAACATGTAACCAGCGGAGCACATATGTAATTACATTCTATGATGATATATATTAATATTGTATTAATAATCATTATTCTAATACTAAAAAAATATTCTAACCTTTTCTCCGCTAATGATGATTATTCTAATATACTTGAATTTGTTTCACTTATTATATTTTTTGAGTGTTCGACCTACGAATCTTTCTCCATATATTAAAATTTATATAAATATATATATGTATGAGTATATATATATATATATATATACATGCATGTGTGTGTGTGTGTGTGTTTGTGATGTGTGATATAAATGCATAAATGCACGTAAACATTCTAAAAATATATAAACCACATCAATCTAATAAACAATAATATAACCATCCGACCTAAACAATGATGAAAAATATACACGTTTAATTCATATATATATATAATTATATATATATATAATATATATAATTATTAAGAACAATATTATGTATAGCGCCCATTCAATGTTCTCACAGGCACTCTCAAAAAATTAAACTGAATTGAATACGTGGCAAACAAAGTAAGTACAAAATCAAATTCAACGCAGCTTCAACGAACATGTTCATCAGTGATTCTCAAACTTGTTTCTTCCACCGCCTACTTTTTGGAAAAGTTCTTCTAGTGCCCCCTTGGCTTTAAAACTTTTCATTTGAAAGAAATGTAATAAAAGTTAGCTCTTTAGTAAGTTTATGTATTTTATAATAATAATAATATATAAGTCCCGTTTCTCCGTGCATAGACTTATTTTAACTACATCATCTTTCAAGACAGGAGGTTCTTGACAAAAAAAACAACAATGACGTTAACAACAAATTTTATTTTTTACATGGTAAATAGGGAAAAAAGCGCGAACGCAGTCTTCCATTAGCAGAAATTATACACCTGAGTTATCCGCATTTGGGGCAATCACAGAAGTCAATTCAACCTCAGTGCAATGGTTCAAAATTATATAAATTTTGAGGAAAAAAAAAACAAAATACGGTTTTACAAAGAATGAGTATTTTTAAATCTAAGTTGAAACGATCAAACAATTGAACATAAATGAATTTAATGTGATGGGTGAATTTGATGATTTTTTTATAAGACTGCTAATATCAGGCTTTAATTTTATCTCTGTCTTAAATCTCTACGTTTAACGTTTATTAATATGCAAGTTATTTTATTTGTTAACGGTGTTGTCACAGCATTAAATCCACGTTTCCATAAATACAAGGCGAGGATGGAAATGCAGGCAAAAGTTGATGAACAACTGACCACAATCCCTAGTACAACAAATTTTTTCGCCTGGAAGATTTTGGGCTAGGTTTACATATTGACAATAACGTTGATGGGTATCCGCTCCGCATAGTTAACAAGGAAAAAGATTTAAACTGGTTCAAAGATATGGTTTTTGTAATCCCAGCAAAAAATGATCAATATATAAACATAAAACTTCTAAAGTTCTCAAATTTTGTCAAAACCTGTCAACGCCCCCAGTAAAACTTAGGCGCCCTCCTATCGCCCACTTTGACAAACACTGATATATATGAATATATATATATATATATATATATATATATATATATATCTAGGACCATACCGAGTGTATAGAATCTATTATCTTATATGCTTTAATATACATATTATGGTCTCCTTCCTATATATATATTATGATTATATATGTATATATATATATGTATATATATATATATATATATATATATATACACATATGCATTTATTGATGAAAATCACAGCATGTTCAGCGTTAGTTAACTTTCAATTTAACTTTTCGATTTTTCTAACGGTTGGACCAGAGAGACAGTGAAAAAAGAGAAAATAGAGAGAGAATGAGAAAATGAGAATGAGTAAAAGAGAGAAAGAGAGAGAGGTTTCAACGCAATGTAATAAGTAACCAGTAGAACTTATCAACAGAACAACAAAACAGAACAACATCCTCGAAATTATAAAATACCTATCCATCCAATTCTATACTCATTTTACATGAATGTAAATGTTGTTTACATTTTGTTACAGCTCTTCATTATCATTAATGTTTGCTTGCCATTATTATTATTATTGTTGTTGTGGTTATTCTTTGTATTTCTGTATTATTTCATTATGTTTGAGACTTATTAGCTTTGATGTTTTTTTGTGCTATGTACAATTGTACATGGCCTTGTGTGTTTGCATGTGGTGGCAGGTTGGTTGGTTGCTTGTGTGTGGCGTGTATGTGTATGTGTGTATGTGTGTGTGTGTGTGTGTGTAGTGTGTGTATGTGTGGTGTGTGTGTGTGGTTATATTTCGTGGGATGTTTCAGACTGATTACTTTTTATATCATGTGGATTGTCTTAGGGACTGTCCACAAGAGGTGTCACGTTTTTTTTGCAATTTTCTTACTCCCCCCTTCTCTTTTTCCATGTCAGAAAGCTTCACAGAATTTAAAACACATCTCCTTATTAAAGTCTAACATTATATACTTCAGTGGCGACATCCTTATATTTGTTATAGACAGCTCCTTATATAGCTCGCTAAACGAGAATACAATAACTAACTATATAGCTAGTTAGTTAGGTTGATAGATAGCTTGATAGACAAATAAATAGGAGCTTTCAGACAAATATTGTGGTCTTATTATAGTCCAATAGATTTGAAAAGAATGTTAAGTGTCGGTAATATTCTTTATATTATACTTATGATATCTGTATGTGTATGCTGTTCACAAACTTTATTTAATCGGATTAATAATACGGGATATTAATAATTTTTATTCATTGTTGTTATATGCGCCTATTTCCAAATAAAGTTGATAAACTTATCAATAAAATCCTACAAAACCATGCCGACCGACACCATCAGCCGCTGAAATTGAAATGAAAATGTTAAAAAATTTCTCATATTTCTTGCCTTCTATTTGTATTCTATGCATTTATGTTTGTAAACAGATACACTTTTAACTTTTTTAACTCTAACTTTGACCGATAATTTTTTGCTTTTAAGCTGCAAAATGTTTATTAAATTGTTATTTTCATCGTAGAGCAATTTTAACCATCTATTTTTTAAGCTATTTATTCTGAGACCGCGTCTTTTTCTTTTCTTCGTCAACTCCTTGTCAGTCAGGTAGATTATTAAAAAAGTACCTGAAAAAAACGAAACTAAATTACTAAACATAACTAAATTATTAAACAACTCTTCTAAACTAAGCTAAAACTTTAAACTAGAGTATAAAATATAGTATTATAGTCTAAATAAAGATTGCAATCAAAAAATAAAATGCAAATGAGTAAGTAATCGTAATGAAATAAATAATTAAATAATAAATAGTAAATACAATACTGGTAATAAAAATAAAGATGAATGATGAAGAAAAACAACTGATTGTTTGCTCAACAAGTTTAGCTGAACATTATATAAGGGAAGAAGAATATGAAAAATGCTTTGAGTGCTACAGAGCATTGCTGGAAGCATGTGGCACTTTAAACACTTTTTTACATCCATACCTACTTGATGTTCTTAAAAAGTGGGTGAATCACTTTTGTGTGACTTGTGCAGAAGATGGCATTGAAGATGTTGAAAAGGTTGAAGAAATAAAAAGTATTGTGAATGCTCACATAACTGCAGCCAAATTATCTGATGAACCTCATTGGATCATCTGTAGCTGTGCCAATCTGTTTTTTCGGTAATTATTTAGTCCATTTCTTTGCAAATACAATTTTTCACTATGTGGTGTTTCAATGGTTTGATTATTTTCTTTACTCAATATATTTTTTTATTCAGGTTACGTCAAAATCTAACAGCACTTGAATATTTCAGAGAGGCTGTTAAAGTGTGCCCTAGTTCCCTATTTGCCAGGGAGAGTTTGGAGAATTTAAACTGCAAACTAGTGAATAGATGGCACTTTGTGATGTTGAATGATTCTAACAGGAACAAACAATATCAAAAGGCCATTCAAAATGCAATATCATCCCTCTGTAATTCTTTAACGATGCCTTCCTCTTTATTTTCAAAAAGTGCTCCAGCAATTATTATGGATGTCGGCGGCGGCACAGGTATCTTGAGGTCGCATCAAATATTTATTCAAACTTTTGAGCAATGAAATAAAGTTAAAATGGAAATTACCAATAATTCGTAAGTACTGATTAATGAAAATTTGTTCTTTCCAGTTTGTTTGCAGCTAGAGCATTGTGCACTCTTGGAATGGGCGACCTTATGAAGATCAAATGTTATGAGGAGGATGAATGCATGTTCCAGGTTGCAATGAAGGTTGTTCAACATAACAATGTTCAAAATGTTGTGGATCTGATTTGTGAATCAACTGACAACATCAAGCCCTCGAGCACTTCTGAATCTATCAAGTACCCATTTGTCTCATTCGTTGTTCAACTGTTGGTCTGAATATGGTTGTGCTGGGAAGCAAATAATTTTACGCTAGTAAACCATTTAATAATACCAACCATTTAACAATGAATAAGAATGGAAAAAAGAAGAAGGAATGAAACCAGATTTTGAATGAAGGAAGGAAAGAGTGAAATTAGAAGAGGAAGGAAAGAAGGAAAAATGAAGGAATGAAAGTAGATTGGAAATGTAGGAAACAGGATGGAGTGTAAACTTAAAAAATTAACAAAATGAAAGAAAAAAGAACGGAAACTTGTTATAATTGCTTTGTTCAAATTAAAATAATTATTCATGGCCAAGAGACAGCTGGGAGAAATTATAATGGTCAAGAGACAATGCAAATGACAACAATTGCTCTTCGAACCAATAACTAGATGACCAGCTTAGTCAAAATAAACATTATAACATTCGTGATAAAATAATCCAACACAAAAATGTTTTAATTCAACACATTATCCATCACAGCATGTTATCTAACAAAGTCTAGAACAGATCCTTTTAATTTAATCTAGCAATGAAGCTGTTTACTTAATAATTGTAGTTATTGCAGTTCATTATCGAAGCAATGTAAGTTTATAAATTGTTCACTTTTCATGTTTTCCGACTTTTTATGTGAGTAGATTTATCTTTTTAAAGTTGTTGAAAATTTGACATGGTCAATTTTCCTAATATGATATGTGATAAGTACTTAAGAGGAATTGTTAACATCTGAATGACAGGCTGATAATAACGGAGACGTTCGATGGAGGATTGTTAGGGGAAGGTGCCATCACATCACTCCATCACCTTCTTCACCTTCCTCAGTGCTCTCCTGTAAGCAAGTTTTGCACTTTACAGATATTTAACAGTCATTATTTAACTCCTGAGACATCATATTTGTCAAAATATTGTCATAATTGTCAAGACGGAATTTCCAACTTTAGCATCTTCATTGTTCCTTTTTTAAAGTTCACTCTGAAATTTACGTTTTATGATTATTTTGTTGTACCAAATAATTAATTGTTTGTGACTCCAAGTGTAGTTCCTTAATCCTCCATGATATTTTGAATTATTTTTCTGTTATTTCAACTTTTCAAACACGTTTCAGAATGTGAAGGTCATTCCGCAGTCAGCCACCCTGTACATGTGCCTTGTGGAATGTCTGGATGTCAGAAACTTTGCGAGGTCTCATATCTGCTCAACACGCGCACACAATTGCACACATGCACACACATTTACACACGTCAAAATGTTGTACTAAAATTTGAAACATACTCGCCGTTTCTTACAACTGTATTATTTTGTTTTTCATTTATAACTGTGGTTAGTTAGGGCTTTGGTATTGAATTAGTTTAAGTAATACTTTATCCTTATAATTTTCGGACGAATGTTTTGAATTTACAACAAGTGTAATTTCTGCCTCATGGTATGTTTGTATACAAAATAGTGCTGTTGATGTTAGTCGTTTGTTCCATATCTTCGTCATCAGTTTTGCTAGATTGGTTTGCATAAAAATTGCAAGTCATCTTGCATAACCAGCACATCGATGCAAATCATTTTCTACACCTACTCCAGGTACTCATCCACCGTGACAAACTTTGGTTGCCGCATATTCTGCAACATTGGACACCACCTCCACCATCACCCACCTCATCGTCGTCCTCGTCACTACCAGCCATACACAACAGAGTACATACATTCATTCAATCATTCGTGTAAGAACTTGTCTGCAGTGGTCCCATTTCAATGCATCAACTTCAATATTTTGCAGGTCAGTGTTTGTTTGCCTGCCATCTTTCATTGTTTTTAGAGGACATAATTTAGGTGTTTGTTTTTTGCTGCTTGCTCTTGTTTCGTGTTGTTCTTGCTGATTATAATTGTTGTCTTCTAACAATTATTGGTTTTTCATACTTTTAAAATTTTAAATTAAGTTTGTGTTTGTATGTATGAGTTTGTGTATGAAAAGTTGAGCAATGAAATTTGTTGCCAGGAGCTAGAGAGTTACATGATGGGAATTACTGACCAGCTGAAAGTTTCCATCACAAGTCCTGGCAAACTTGATGCCATTGTAACCTGGTTTGATCTCCATCTTGACGACGACCACCACCTCTCATCATCTCCCTTGCCTTCCCATCTGGGGTCTGACGAATCGAGTGCCTCATGCTGGCAGCAAGCACTTCATCCCATCTGTCTGTTGGCTGACGAGTCGTCTTACATAGTCCATGCTTCTGATCACGTGCTTATTCAGTTTAAAATAAACAACGAAATGTTACAAGTTGACTGTTTGGAAATAAGCAGGAAGCACAAAAACATTGAGCATAATGATGCAAGTGATCGAACAAGAATCAACGATGATTTCGCATCAAATGATTGTAGAAATTCTTTAACGAAGACAGCATTAACCTCATCAGTAATTCATCATTTTTCATCATCAGCGTCAGCAAAAATTACTTCTAGTACTGCTACTACTACAACTACCACTTTTACAACGACAACTACTTCTACTACAACTACTGCTACTGCTGTTCATTCTCACCGACGAAATACAACTCATCCCCATCTGCCAACGACTTCTCAACATTCCACATCAACAGTTTTCTCACCATCATCATTTCAGCATGCAGCCGTCACAGATGATTCACCTGAAGATATTCTTTCGACCTCATTCACACCGATAATTTATTTATCTCCAAATGATGTATCACTTCTGAATGATGATGAATACAACATCAAATGCATTAAATACTTGGGGAAAATAATCCAGCACTATCTTTTAGAGAATGTTCCAGCTGACAAAAATAATGATCACCAAAACAACGATGCAAGTAAACATAACAACAGCAACATTTGTAATAGCAGTAACGATGCAAATAACCATCAAACCAATAATGCTTGCAGTAACGACATCGGCTGTTGTATCAACGACACTCCCAACAACTACAAGGTTGACAACAGCAGGAATGGGATGTTCTTAGGAGTGGTCATCGTGTCATCATCACACCTGGACGCGTCATCTCTCCACATCATTCATGCCTTTTGTGACAAGGTCCACTTCAGAATCATTTATACCGGTGAGGATGTGGATGGCGATGACCAAGAGGTGGATGACTGGCCCTCGGACGTCAGTGAACTTTTGAACTTGATCAGAAAAATATATGAGAGCAAGAAAGTAGACTATGGCAAGATGTTTTCATTTGTGAAGTTGTTCGCAGATGGTAAGACGGAGAATATAATGACCTTAACAGGTGATAATAATAATAATATTCTAGAGGAAAGATTAACTGACGACATCGATGTCAACTGGGTGATTGGATTTGCAAATCTCGTTGGTGCCAATGGGCAGATTAAATCCCACATTCTAAACAGCGTCAACATTTGCAAGTGTTTATTGATTCTTCTAAATTTTATTTTTCTACTACTATTTGCTTCTGTTTTAAATTTGATGTTAAATTATTCTTATAAAATAATCTATCTGACTAATTTTGATTTAAACGTGATAAAAATATTATTGGAGAATCACGCTAACGACTCCACAGTGCACACAGCTGGTTTGGGCAGTTAAGTTCGTTGATGGAGTGCAAAGATTGAAAATAAATATTGAAATGTTTGCGAAAGATAAACTGAGATAACAAATTGTTGAAGAGACTGGACATTATTTAGTAGATGAATGACTTGGCCGTCAACTGAAAAATTATAGAATTCAGAATATTTTTTCAGATTTTTAAAAATTTTTAGTTGACTTAAAAGTGATTATTTGTAATTGCAATGATCATGATTATTATAACAAATTGATAATTTGATTAAAATAACAGGAAGTCGTGTCTGTCGCTCAATTGCACCTTCCTTCCATATGAGGTTAGCTGCATGGGTCAGTTGATCAGCTCGCCACATCTCGTACGCAGATGCTCCATGCACAAGACGAACAATCCTGCTCCCTATCAGATTTCCCAGTTCATCAATGAGTTCAAGGTTGGTCCTCCTACTTCTTTGCCATTTGTTTACTCGGCTTTTCTTGGTGTAATCAAATAAATGGATAATAATTGTTTTTCTTTGTCCACGTCATATCATTCTTATTTTGATTATCATAATAAAAGTTATCATAATTATCACAGTCAGTTTTTGTCTTCATCGTTGTTAATTTGAAATTTGTAGGTGTCTTACCACACGGACGTCAACATGAATGCGTTGCAGTGTGTCAAGTTAACAGAACCTTTCCAGATGTTCATGTTCAAACTCAATGAGGCTTTTGGAGAAGTTTGTGGAAAGGTCAAGGAAGATGCTGAGGATGTTGTTGATGGTGATGATGATGCTGGCAACAAAGATAGTGACGAAGAAGACGATGATGAAGATAATGATAATGAAGGTACTTTTTTTTGCAATCTCCATGAAAGAATATCAAACCCGGGCATTATACATGCGCTTGTTTATTGGTTCGTCATAAAATTAGGAAGGGGTGGTGATGATGATAATTATGGTGGTAATGATGATGACGATGTCATCTCTACTGCCAGTCCCCGTTGTCATTGGAAACAGTCGGCTGTCATCATTGACACTCCGCTTCATGTCATCCTCAACGATACAGTCAATGTCAAAGTCAGATCTTCCAAGTCCGCTGAATATTTTTGCGTCCAATTGAACAAAGACTAAAATCTCTTTATTGTATCTATAATGCTATTCTCTAAGAATTTTCATTTAATTATGTTTGGACGTTAGAGTGTATCGTGGGAGGGAGTCAGTGGGTTTAAATGTTTATCTTGTTTAAATGTTGCGCTAATAATTTTTTTATAACGTTGTCATGGAAATAAATTTGTTTAAAAGTAACTTGTCTTGTTGCTTCATGCCTTCGAATTGAAATAAGAAGTTTGAGTTAGGATGACGGGCCGAGGCAAAGGTAAGGAGGTTCAACTGCAGGTTGAAATTGAAAATCAGGAGGATTGGGAGGAACAGATCGCCAAGGAAGGATTGCTCGGTCGTTTGCTTTGTCGTAAAAAAATTAAATTAAAATAGTAATAAAATAATAAATTAATTAATTTAATTCTAATTTTGAGTTTCGTAATTTTTTTTGATTTATGATTTTCAAATAACGATTTAAAATTTGAATCAAATTTTTAAATCGTTTTCTCGATATCATGATTGTTTACTTAACAAAACCACTTAATAGTAAATTAAATAGTGGGATGTGTAATCATCATCCTTATCAATACTTTTGGTCCCTTAAATCTTCATTTGAATAATCATTTAATGGAGAGGTCTTACAGTACAAAATTTTTGGGTCTAATTATCTCAGATAATTTATCTTGGGCTGAACATATTAATACTATTTCTTCTAAATTAAGCAAAATTTTAGGTCTTCTTTATAAAATAAGATACAAACTTAATAAAACTACTTTAATATTGTTGTACAATGCATTTGTTTTTCCTCATCTATCATATTGTAATCTTATCTGGGGCAATAGCCCTGCTGTTCATGTCTCAAAACTATATAGAATTCAAAAAAAATTTATAAAACTATTATTATATTTAAAAATTACCACTCATGTTGATGAATATTTTTCTTCTTTAGGTCTTCTTACAATATACAAATTACATATTTTTATTGTTGCCTTTTTCAAATTTGTCAATAATCTGCTACCATCTAATTTCTCAAATATTTTTTCACTCAAACCTTCACATATTTTTAAATCTACTCGTCACTTCATTCCATATAT